TTACATTATAAAGAGGGTGCTGAAAGGCTCATGTCAATTTCCACCAACAGACTGAACTACACGGGACTAACTACTTTTCTAAAGCGCGTTATAGTCTCATGAGATTAATTGCTTAGGAGAGCTGTTTTAAGTATCAGGTATGATTCAGTTCTAAATGTAAATTCCACCGACTTAGTGACCCACCAGCCTCATTAACTCGCAGATCCTCGGTGAATTCTAGCGATCGTGCGCTTTAATTATTTACAAATAGAGGGCCAACTGAACTTGTTTGATTATAAACCATAATCAAACTATCAATTTGGATTAGTATACAGCAAATAATTTAACACATTTACGAAACTGGGTAAGCTGATTCGAAAGGTAATGTTTGATTTGAAAAGCCGTACGAGTTTTGCTAGGCTGTAATTCATCCGTAAAGATATCAGGTGTGGTCGCCAGGACGTGCATTCCCAACGACAGACAACTCCCATCCCCAAAAATCCTCTCTTTTCTCTTCAGGGTCCACCTCTAAGCCCACGAACTCACCCACAAACCAACCAGATACTGGTGGCAGTTCTTTCGTTTAGTTATTCGTTAACTTTTGCAGCCGGCTGCGTTTCCTTTGATGTCCTCATTAACCTCAAAATTAGTGAATAACGCTGTCATCCCATTTAGTTGTCTGTTTTGCTTGACATTCGGTTATTACATTTTGTCTTTATAATACGGTAATATTCAAAAGTGTTATTCAGGTATGTTGACCCATGTAACGCCAGTCGCGCGCATATTTTTCAACGTCTTCGAGCTGGAATTGAGTCCGAAGATTGCAGGCTCAGTTTTTATTGGAAAAGGTGCTGTCTTCCCAGGTAACCGCGGACCACCGTAATACCGGTAAACGGTCGGTAAGAAGATTAGGAGGGTTTAACAGATATAAGTATACATAGAAATGCAAAGCATCACATTGACAGAGAATGGGTTTTATTGAGGTGTGCACAAAGGCATTTGCTAGATTGCCGCGTACGAAAGTGTCCTTTGGTTGGCTGAGTGCGTTCCTCTAAAAGGAGATGAATACCAGTAGCAAAATGAGCTCCAAGCGAGCTCTCATCGAGCTCTTGGCATTGTCTGTGCGGACTTGATTTGCGGTCAGATGTGTTCATGGTTCAGAGCTTGATTCGAGCTCGATATTTCGGGCCAAAAACGAGCTCGAAACGTCGAGATTCTAAATTTACTCAACCAGGGGTTCCTTGTATTCCACCGAATTTCCCCTTATTACTGTGCTAATCAAGATTCCTGAATGAAATAACAGTTGTACATTTCAACAGAGAAATTTACTCAACACTTGAGAAATAATGCATCAAAAATGATTTTAATGTGCTATATAACATCGTTTCTTAGTTACTGAATTAATATCAAGCGGCCGGTGGGAGGTCTAAAAGTGTAACGAACCTGTCTGGAACGGCAGCTAGTCCGGAGAGAAAAGATGAAGTGTACAAGGCCTGCTCTTAAATTGCATTACGGACATTACTTTATGTCGACCCATGATGTTAAAATGACAGGAATTTTTACGGGAAAAGGCTCAGTGCTAACTCAGGCTAAGATCTAGTTCTCCAGGAAGTTAGTTTGGCCAACACTCTCTAACGTATAGGCTGTAGTACTAAAGCAGGCATTGATTCTATGAGCCCATTTTAGACGACTCATGTAAAAATGGCATATACATCCATAAAAATGGAGGTGTTTTTCCGTGTGTTGTAGGTAATCTCCGAAAGTACTGCACCGATTGCGCTGAAATTTGGCTAAAATACAGGCAGCTCATAGGGCTGGGTCTTTTATGCTTACCTTTGTAATTATGCCAAAGGCACGCCTGTGATGGGCAAAAACCGGATTTGTCCGGCATAACAACGCCACCTGCCGTGGCCACTTGACCCGCATCCACGCGAACACAAATGCGCCCCCCACGAGCCACTTGACCGACGTCCGCTCAAACGCACGTGTTCCGCCCAACTGCCGAGCTCACCCCACCGCCCACCCTGCAGATACTTGAACATGTCCCCCCTCTGGGCCGATGCAATCTGGGTCGGTAGGCAAAGTACCCACCCTGCAGCAAAAAAACACGCAACACTTGGGTTCCACTTGAACTTGCCCCACACTACCCACATAATGGGGCTGTCACCGCTTCCGCTGGGATTCTCGGACGTGACGACTGGATGCGGTTAACACCGCACCTTTCCCCCCCCCCCAAGCGCAACCGACATAATGGGGCTGTCACCAAATGTCAGCTCAGTGTCGTGCAACCCGGATTGAGGAAGCCCGGTTGCAGTCACGGTTACCGCGTTCTGCAGGTTCAGGTCTGCTCCTTTCATAACAGACTGAACACTACAAGCTGCGAGTGACTGAAAGGCGCCAGCGAGGAGCACCAGACTAGCGTCCAACACGACTCCGTGCTCAGCATTCACGCTGCGCTCTGGAGAACACATTCATTTGCGTGATGCTGTTGTAAACGACGGTACGGCAAAACCCGTTTGAAGACTAAAGATTTTGCCATCCAACATATACCGGCAGTCGGAGACCGATTTTTAACGCAGCATCCATTTACTTTAGGATGATAATTACAGTCATTGACGAGGAAACGCACATGAAATGCACATGAAATGCAGCGCAATGAACTACTACTCCTGCCGACTTATGATTCGATGGAATGTAAGTAATCCCCCTTTGAAATGCCGTCAATTGCTTCATCACTGCATTGTGGATACGTATGCAAAAATCGAAACAGGGCGCCTGCTTTTCATTCGCTTGAATCAGACCGAGCTGCACTCTGAAGAATATATTCCTTTGCATGATGCAGTTGTAAACGACAGTAATACAACTGACGTTGTAGGGCTACTGATTTTGTCCTCCACATACACAGACAGTCCACGCCATATGCTCGGGTACGCTCGAGGTGCAACTGCTTATGTTTGTCAGTACGGGCGTCCGGACCTACTCATTAAATTCACATGCAATCCAGTTTGGGGGGATATTTATCAGCTCTTACTTCCTGGGTTATCGCCGGTGAATGGTTATGACATCACAGCACGTGTTTTTAGGAAGAAACTGAAATCGCTGATGAACTTCATGGTGAAACACAAGGTGTTTGGGTCTGTGCGCTGCTGGATGTATTATGGGAATGGCAAAAGATGGGAACTGCCCCACGCACATGCCTGGATCTGGCTCTACAACAAGATCACATCCAACGAAATCGCCGATGAAATATGCGCTGAATTTTCTGACGCCGACGTCGACAATGATTTGCACGAAGTCGCGGCGAAGAAAACGATCAGGGGAAGACGTCGGCAACACGGCAACCGTACGGACGCGATTTGGCGACGTAAAAGTCGGTAAGCGCTGGGTTGTTTCGTATTCACCTTTGCTTTAAAAGCAAACGAATCTCACTCAAACGTGGAAAACTGCAATTCCGGAAAATGAATTAGGTACATTTGTAAGTACGTGAATAAGGGCAGAGACATGGCCGTCTTCGGCCTGCAACACGAAAGGAGGCGGTGGTATGTGGACATACAACTCGATCAAATTGCACAGTACAGTTAGAGAATGAGCAATGCGTTTACTTTACAGCTGCAAATGCGCAACAACATTAACTGCGTTCTGCATGTTAAGCCAAAATGACGCGTTTGCAAAAACACTGCTGCATTCGGAGGTGCCTAAGTATTGCACAGGGAATGCGTGTAGAGGGCATCTTCCGTAGAATATGCAAGGACAAATCAAATGTGAATTTCACAGCAGAAAATATACAACGAGGTGTTAATAATGATTGAGGATGTGTGCGTAGAAATCACGACCAAGGCACTCAATCAGCTGGAATGCCATTACAAACCGATCTGCTGCTGTTTCCTCAGACGTGGATTTGCGCCGTTGGCAAAACTAAAACACGGCTGATCTTCTGTCGTATCTGCAGTCAAACATTCCCCAGCTAACACTGCAGCAGGATGGCATTTACGATCAAATAATACGGGCTGTCAATAATGGGGTTGGAGGAATCTTCTTCCTAGATGCGCCTGGAGGAACTGGCAAAACGCTCCTACTACGACTGATTCTGGAAGCGCTTCGATGAAAAATTGACATAGCCTCAGCTTTTGCATCGTCCGGAATAGCTGTGACTTTGCTACCCGGTGGAAGAGCTGCTCATTTCGCTTCGAACGTACTGCTGAAATGCAAACTTGTTGTTTGAGGGTGAATGCACAATGGCACACAAAAACGCTCGAAGCCCTGACTGAGTATCGCAAGGTTTGCGTGGAAACATCAGACCATTCCGAGAGGTATTGCTGTTGTTTGCAGGAGACTCGGGCAAACACTGCCTGTAATTCCTCAATCGACACCAGCCGATGAAATAAATGCCTGCCTGAAATATTCTGCGCTGTGACGCCACCTCCAGACGTTCAAATTAGCTACGGATATGCGTGTCCAGCTGCAAACGGACCGATCAGCTGAGATATTCTCAAACCAATTGCTGGCAATTGGGAATGGATCGGTGCCGGTTGATCTGAATTCAAGATTTCGAAAGACGAAAACGAGGAGAGCATGTCGCCGAAACCCCCCATATTCAAAGGAACTGCGATAGGCAGATTGTACACGTGTATCCCAGTTAGGACGAATGCTTCTTTCTTCGTACGCTGTTGGTAAATGTGGCTGGTACAACGTTCTTCCAGCAACTAACATTGCCAACGGCATTACACATGCCGCTTTCCGCAGTGCATATCAGGCCGACGCTGGGATGTATGTATTAATGACGCGTGCACATGTCCGATGCATATCGAATTCGTTAATTGTTTGCAATCATACTGACGGCCTGCTCTACTTCATCTCCAACAGATTTATGGGTGAAACAAAAATTGCACACGGATGAGGAGATCCTCCGCCGACTGCGCATGGAAAATTCCAAATGCGGATTTCACAGCAGGAATCTACAACGAGGCGTTAATAGTAAGTGTACGAAAGAAATCGTGAAAAAAGTTTCTAATCAACTGGGAATGTCCTCACCAAACCGATCTGCTGCTGTTTCGTTAGATGTGGACTTGCACCGTGAGCAAAAAGCGCTCGAGGTACTCGATCGAACACCGCAAGATCTGCGCGGAAACAGCAGACCATTTGGGGACATTACCGATACTGCTTGCAGGAGCCTTCAGGCAAACACTGCCTGCAATTCCTACATCGGCAACAGCGGACGAAACAAATGCCAGCCTGAAATTCTCTTCTTTGTGGCGCCAAATCCAGATGGTGGAACTAACTACAAATATGTTTGTCCAGCTGCAAACCACCGATCAGCTGAGGTATTCTCACAGTAATTGCTGGCATTGGGGAATGCAACGGTGCCCGCTGATCCGACTTCAGGAAGGATTTCCCTACGTCTAAGCTTCGGCAGTTTAGTGTCCTCAAAAGAAGAATTGGCTGAAAATGTGTTTCCCACTATTCAGACCACTTTCGCCAATCACGACTGATTGAGCGCACGAGCAATTCTTGCGGCCAAGAACAAACACGTGTACCATCTTAACCACATTATTCAGCCTAAGATTCAAAGCCAGGCAGTCACATACACGTCCGTTGACACTGTCTTGGAAGCAGACGAGGCAGGTTAATTATCCAACAGAGATTCTGAATTCACCTGAACCACAGCAACGCGTGTCGGGGTCCAGCTGTTATATAATAGCTTGGAATAGCTGATGTCCAGGGTAAGAGATTATCAAAAGGTCCGTTAAAACATAGTTGCCTCTTTTGGAAGTTTCAGACGGACAACTCAAGCCATGGGATTTCTTATGGCCTTAATCTCCCATTGAAAGTCTTGCGGCGTTATTCTGTTCGATATGACATTAAGGATGTCTCTGCCAGAAGGCCTGAATAACTGGCGAAGATACAGCAAACGGTAGGCATTGTCGATAATGAACCAGAAATGTGAGTAATTAGATGTAATCTACCGTTGTATTTTCACATAAAATTATCATTTTTTGTTAGTTGTAGCGGTAGGATCTTTGCCACTCATTTGTTTTAACCAGCCACCACCACGTCCATGCGTTTATGTTTTGGTTTATCGGTTGCACTCCTCTCAGGTTTTATCCGCATGCTGTGTAGATAGACGATATACATTAGAAAGGGTAGGTATTGCACATGTGCAGGGACAAATGAATGCAGTCTTCTTTTGTATATATATGACGTATTCCGCAATACAATTTTATGATTTTATTAACGATCACTGTCTAGCTGTTGGTTGCCGGAGACCTTATTACATATGTAATAAAGGAAATATTTCCTTTAGTTCAGTATATTCTAAAAGTAATAAGCGATGCTTTTGTAAACCCTATTGAAAACGGTACATGCAATATCTAGCTTAGATAAACACGGTACTAAAATGGTGCCAATGATATATACATTCAACAGGATATTGTCTTTAGAAATGCAGGACCGTAACTTGATCGAGAACCCTCGATTGTTCTCGTCATAGCCCTGTGCACAGCCCCGCCCATATCGGTCATAGCCCCTTCTGGCCCCGGGGGCTTGACGGGTCCGGACAGAGCTGGAGCTAGCTGGGCCAGTTGTAGGTGATAACGACAAAGTGTAATGACAACCATCCGCATTAGCGGTAGGTGTATGCAAGGCGTTGGTTTGGTATAACAGAACTGTTCTGTCCAGACAAGAGGCACTTTCCAAGCAAATATACATCTAGTCCTTGTTTAAATGTCCTCGTGGACTCCGCCATTATTACGTCACCGAGAGGCCCGTTCTAGGCACCGACGACTCGCCGTGAAAAAGAGTACCTGCGAACGTCCAGATGGCATCGGGATCCTCGCAGTTTACGAGAGTTCCCACGCAGGTTTGTTGTTGTGGCCAAGATGAAAAATCATTGAGGTGTAGGGCACAATCCCGGTTCCTCAAAATCCGGTACGCCTTTATGAGATCTCCCGGGATCTGCCGGTACTCAAGAGGAAATAGGTTAAGGCCATTAAGTCTGCAGTTGCAAGGTAAAGTCTTAAGGCCTTTCGCAATTTTGACACGGGCCATGCGCCTTTTTGATGGCATTTTTGAATGCTTCTCCCAGTTTCTGCCTATCGAACTTATTGTCCGAATTCCACCTGTTGAAGGAATTTGAAACAAATTGCTTTAAGTACACAGGACAGAAGCCTTGCCAGGATAACATCAAAGGGGGGAGGACCAAATTTGGTTCGCGGATCCCTTCCCGTAGGTCGGTTTTATGTATAATTACGCACGGAAAGTGGTGTTTTTGCTTATATAGTAATATTAATAAGATGATATCTCATTTACGACTATTATACCGTATAAAGAGGTGTATTTACTAAAGATCATCTGTGGCAAGTTGGCATGACTAGGCCTTTTGACCCTTTTTATGTGGGCGGTCATGTGCCTTCTTAAGGACATTTTTAAACCCCTCAAACTTCTGACAGTCGGACCGCCGGGCGTTATTTTAACGTTATAGTTTCTCCATATATATAAGGCGCCAGCCTTACCAGGACTGCCGCGTATGTGGTAGATCCGTATACGCTACATGTTGTGTTCTTGCCTTGAAAATCTATGCAAGAAAAGTTGCCATGCTGTCGCCACCGAAGTAGGACTAGTTGGAAATCTGCGCATTGCAGTTACGTTTGGTGGAACATTTACCACACACTACACATATCTGGTCACCGCAAGCGCATCTGGAAATTGATCGAAATCAACTGAAGTCACAATCTGATGGATAAGAGGCTCGCCTGTTACGTCTACTGATTCAGAAGAATTTGCAAGCAGCGGCATGTCGGGCTTAGTGGCCATTATTTGCATTGCGAGATTGGACATATTCGGCAACATCTGGCCCAATCTGACGACTAGTATAACGTTCGCCTTGGAATCCAGAAACTACAGGAAATCACCCCTCTATTCCATCGTCCCACGCGAATTTTGTCCACTGTGGCATGACAACCGGATTTTTTGGCGACTTGGGGCCATGATCTACGCGTTTTGGCTGGATTTATCGAGGACTAGTGACGCCGAGGGGTGCATACTAGTAGATTGACGCGTACTGGTAAAATCCTGTTCTCCTCCTCACGTGTCTAAAGGTTCGCCTCTCCTCCGTGCCCATAACGCCCGAGTCTCGAGAAATTACGTATACCAAACAAAACCAAGACTCGGGGCACACGACTCCTGTGTCGCCATGCAACCTTAGTCAACAAAGGGGACATTAGGACATGGCCACCCTTTAAGTCCCCAGTTTGCGAGGCAGCCGAGATTATTCAAAAATCCACCCACCGACTCCGCAACGGCTTTATCAGCGTAAAACCTTGCATCTTTCTGCCCAGACAAGCTGAAGTAGTAGTACTCTCACCATATTAAAATTACTGACACGTCGGCTAGAGAGGCCCGCTAGCGCTGCTCGTCCGAATTTTCTCTGTAAAGCAGGCCACAAATGTTGGCGACTCCCAGAAATTTTATTACCCTCTTCGCTGAGCTAGTTATGGTTGGCCTACATTGCGTAACACTGCTCGCGATGTGAACGGCGACCTTCTTATTGACAGTTCGGCCAAGGCCAAGCGTTGATGTCAGGTCCTTCTTAACTTTGATGACTGCTTTTATCTCGTCACTGGTAGAACTTCGCTTTCCGTTAGCGCCGTAGAATTCCCTCCTGGAGGACATTGGCGACGCAACGTTGAGCCTCTGCAACGCCAAGGTTCCCCTGGAGAACATGATTCCACTCACAGTCAGTAAGTCTCGTGTCAGCACTGACATCCTGACTCCAAGAAGTGATTGAAGAAGCACGGAAATATGAGATCGTTTCCAGTGAATGAGTATCTGTCATCTTTGTGCCTGTCTTTAAGAAGGAAGGTGACATGAAGTGCGGGAAGTACCACTGTGTCTCTCGTCAGTATTGACACATAGGTCATTGCCCTAATTAATTTCAACCACTTCATTGTGCGTAATTCACAGACGAGGCTAGGTCAGACCGGACTCCAGCTGGATGTGGATATATCAACTGAATATTCACACGGGCGCATCACGGAGTAATGCCAGAGCCACCAGCAACGGGATGTCGTATGCTCCCTCCGTTCATCACGTTTCCCAATGATGCTGATGAGGGTAGACGGTATGCCGACAAAGACCATCGCCGTCGTCTGGGCCCTCCATAGCCTCACCACTGCGCGATTTTTTCTCCACAATCTATCCCAGTCATAGGATATTAGATCCGGTGTCCGACAAGACTGAATCTTATCGTCCAACCAGTTAGCATTTATCAGGCAACGAATGATCTTCAACGATGCGGTCGTCCAGTATTTAGGTTTGTTGTACCAGTCTGCATGACAAACAGTGACGGGCCTCCCTGTGGCCTGAAAGGTGTTTGGCTCAGCTGACAGTTAGAATGGGCAATGCTATTTAATGCTTCCTACAACCACTCACTTCTACTAGTACCATTCTTCTCGCTCCACTATCCTCCTGCTGTTGCATCCCCACAATCTTTCGCTTTTGATTTGTATGCCTTCCATGGGGCTGGCCAGAATTTCCCTTCAGATCTCTACACTTAACAGTCAATTCATTTTTCCATCCTAAACGTCCCGTTCAACGCTCGTGCATGTATATAGTCGTTTCCATCCAACGTTGATAACTCAACAAGAGCTACCGTGAACTGCGTCAGAACACTTACCTTAGACATTTTCTGACCTCTAACTATTTCCGCGGCCAGTTTTTATGTTGCCATAAAAACATGCTTGCGTAAATACATCATTATGATTCCCGGAGAATGTTTTTACAGAAGTGTAAACTACGCGAAACGTGGGACCCAACTCGACTGCGCTTACGGGCATTTTCCCTCTTAACCCGATTAACAGAAGGCAACTTTATATGATATCGGAAATGCATTCCACTCAGTGCATATCTTTCGGTTCCCGCTTACACTGTTTTTCTTGTCTAGTCTGTCATCACTCATGTTGCAACAAATTAAACTCTCACCTAAGAACTTCGTTTTCGCCTTCAAGTCTATCAACAGCGAGGTAGGATTGTCTGTTTTGCCTTTTCCTCACACCAGTTTGACTCACTCCTCAAAAAAACTTGGAAAGCTGCTGCAGATGCCGGCTTTATGAACTACAGTGTCCCTACTACGCCCTCAGTTACACCATGTAATGTCAAGGGCGCCCCCTTCATAATATTGGTTAGTTGCCTTCCGTTGTTAATTTCCATTCTTCGACTCAGACTCTTCCAAGTCGTTTTACTTCCCGAAGAAAACCCACAGTCCCACAAAGGATTGATGAACAGCTGTCACCCGATGGCTTCAATTTCACCAAGGTGAAACCAAGAGAATTACTTTTCTCCCTTTGCATGGAGGTAGTCAAATATGTGGGTTCTCGTTTTATTAATTCAGGGTACGGAAACTCAAACGGGAGTAGTTCTGACGAATGTGAGTCCATTCACCTTTGGACATTCGCTCTTGGTACCTGACCCGCCAAAGTTGTTTAACCAAGTACTTGCATATTTCTGCTATATGAATCTGAATTTGCCGTCAACAAGGTTATTCGTAGGCAATCCCTGGAGTTGGCCTTGGGCTCACTGCTGCATTCCGCTGACAAGTAAGTCCACCTTGTTCTGAACATTCGTTCAACACATTGAGCCAGCATGTAGCCCGCCGTTGTTTTGATTTAGCGTGATTTATTCCGCATACGTAACGTTCGATTGGGTCGACTTTTATGCCTCCAAACCTCATCGTCTAATCGGTAGCCCGGCACCCGTCCGGTAGGGTCCTGCTCTAGGGCCACGCACACTCTGAAATCTGCAAATGACTACGACAAAGGCGTTTGTAGCATCACTGATGAGGCTTATGCCGCGGTAGTTCTCGTAATTTGTTTCATCTCCCCTCTTGACGACAGGCGCAAGGATGGCCGATACCACTTATCTGTCCATGCATGCCCATGGAGGCAGGACGCCAGAGTATTGAATCAAGGTTTACAGACATCAGCCGGAACACCGTCTTCTCTAGACTCCTTATTGTTGTGCGGCCTCAGTATCGCATCCATGATTTCGCTGCATGAATGGGAATCACACATCACGACGTAGACTGCAGAGGGGTACGACTCTTCTGCGGAGAAGAGCACGAAACTGTAAGCGTTCGAAAAGCTCTGACTGGAGCACTGTATCAACTACTCCGTTTCCTTCCACATACATAGACTGGCCCACTTCCACACCCGCCTGCATCACAGTAATCAATTGTTTCTGTGCACTTCTGACTAATAAGTCGCGCTCGAAAATGACTTCCCCCGTCTCCCAACCACATGGTAGACCCAATTTTTGGCGCTAGATATCAGTCAACTGTGAGTACACTGTTGTTGCTGTTCTTGGTAGGTAGAAAATTACCCCTCCGCGTCACCGGACCTCGGCAAGTCCGACAAGAGTGCACAAGCCATATTCCGGTCAGTCTTGACTCGCCGGATAATGGTTATGTGATGCGGCCAAAAGGAGGCTTAGCTTCGTGTACTTCCTGGGCCCAAAGTACGAAGGCTTCAATCGCCCTTCTAACACACCCGTCTAAGATTCTCTGGTTGAACCAGACGGTAGATGAACCCCTAATGGATGATGAGCAACATTCGCTGTAGCTTGATCCTTTTACGGGTATCGGATTTGCAAGATCAGTGTTCAATCACACCCGTAGATGTTATAGCCGTTGAATGACCTGCGACTGGTCTTCTCATCTTGTAAGCCTCCGTTGGGGGCTACTCTACTATCCACCGTCTGTAAACGCGTCAGGCAGGCCCGCCGCTAGGCTACCTTCTCTTCGTATCGTACCCTAGAAGGGAGGAAGAAAGTAAGCACCCGGGAGGGCCGGAGTGTCCTTATTTTTGGTCATACTTCACATGTTTGCCCATTCAAAGAGGAAACTAATATTTCGGCTACTTTTGCGTCCTGCTAGTGTGGCCATCTTACTTTGGTGTTATTCACTGGCTTCTTCTCCAGCCTCCTTTGCCTGGGTTTCAACAGCCTCCTGGCTCATGCCTCAGTGAATCACCTGCACTATCACCTCTGGTATTCAATGGCCCCACTGCACTCTGCTACCTGCGTATGTTCTTTCTCCCTGCCTTTTCACTTATTACATTCAGCCACTGAGAACAAAGCCGGCCCTTCCAGCCTTCATGGAGTTGCAGCAGCATTGCGTTGACAACTTTGTTTTCGAATTCCCATCCCTTTCCGACTACAAGGAAACTTTGGAGTAAGCACAGTGCACTGTTTCAGGGTCATATAACACATATAGTGTCCTCATTGTTGCCTTAATTGTTCATCGGAAACCTAGAGACGTCTCTAGGCATTTTAAAACTCGTTTTTCTGGCAGCCTTATATTTTTGTCAGGATTACTTGACATGTAGATAAAGGTGTCTGTGCCTCCCGCTCCCAATAACAGGGATCTCGTCAGTATCGGCCCCGATCTTACTGACTGACGAAGTACAGTTAGAGACCACTCTCGTGAAATGTTGGTCGAACTTTTCAAATGCATTCTCGACTAAGAAGGATTGCTTAAGTGGGCTTGTAATGCTGATTATCATGCAGAATAATCCCAATATATTTTAGTCACGCCACTGCCGGATTTCGAATGCACTCCTTTTTGGCCGCCCGCAAAAAACATGCACCACTCCTACTTACTTTGTTCAAAATCACGTCCTCACATTTCACGCGCTAAAAAGATACATTTAGTTTTTAAAAGGGGTTTTCAATTCCCCGATAATTTTAAGCCTGGTTTGCGTTTTGGGTCTCCAATCTACTTTCCATGTAGAGGAAATTATAAATTACTCTCTGCCATTCAGAAGATGCAATATAAGGCTCATAACATTCTGCAGTGGATGGTGGCTATGTTTTTTACTTTATAAGGAGCATTAACAGACAGATATGGTAATACTTGAATGGACATTTCACTGTCTGAAAAAACTGCAAACTTCTTTGAACCGAAAGATACCCCTTGATTCATGTGTAGAACTTGAAGTAGATGTAATTTGCTACCAAGTGATCGTAAAAATATTTGTGTGCATGTTTTCCACAAAATATATTTGAATTTATAAGGACATCGAAAATCGCTGTGGAAATTTTGTACTACTTAAGTTGTCGCCTTTTTATCGAGTGCGATCGTTGCAGGCGGCTGAAAAGAAGCCCATTCAAAAGTTGGCATCCCGATGCGATTAGAACATATTGGAGTTATGCTGCCTGGTGATCAATGTTATAACGTCATTTAAGTAATCCTTCCTAATCAGAAATGCATTTCAGGATTTGGTTAACATTTAATGATATTGGTCACTGACTGTAAGGGAAATCAACTTTTCAGTGAGGATTTCTTTTGTGCTCCTCTGCCTTTAGGACACGGGAGCAGGGACGCTCTCCCTCCCCCCGCCTTCTCCAGTAGTACAGGTGGCCTCACGCTAAATTCCAGGATAGATGCCCATTCCTGTGCCCTAATAATAACCATAACGTGAGCTCCAGACCTAGTCTTAGCACCAACCTTCACCCCACTAATAATTTCACTGGAAGTTCCCGTAAAACCCCTTGTGTTACGGGACGTTCCTATTCCCGTTTTCTCCGGAGGAGGGGGAGCGCGTTAAAGCGGACATATAAGAAATCATTACCACCCTTCGTTTGTAGGTATCCGTCGTTGCCTTCTGTTCTATCGTGTTTTGTCTGCAGTGTTTATCCTTAAGAGCACATTCATCGATGTCGCTGCCGGCTCCACCGCTCTTTAGCACTCTTCGATGCCCGAGTTAGCCACTCCATCCTTCTTACCGTCTTCCTTTAACATTGATTATGGACTAGCTCGGTTGGGAGGCCGTGAAGACATCCTGTAGCTAGTTTTAAGACACGATTTCTCTAGCTAAGGCTGTCCACCGGTTAATCTGCGGCCATCTGGCTAGCTACGAGATACATGACTGCAGACTTCATTATTACTGTCAAAGACCTCCACGCTATACAACTTACTACGTCGCGAGGTTGGCACAGCTGGACATCCGTAGGGCACATCTACAGTTCTAGGCGCGAGATATAATTCTCCAGTAACCAAAGAGCTTCTAAAACTTTGAGGGACTCGATGTTAAACATAATCCCGTCAACCGAATCTGTGGCATCTTGAGGACCCTAAGGACCACAGTTTTGTGCACTCAACTGAAATAGTGTTCAGAAATGTACCGTAGTATCTGGCGTAGCATGCGCATTCATGCTTCGGATGGTAACTCTCCACATGATTTATGTCGAAGTAAAGAGTCGCATCAGTTGCAGTGCGTGCCCACTGGCTGGCGAACGGTAGCCAGCCCAACCTTGAGACCTTATTACTCTTTCAGTCTGTTCATAGTGTAGACGCATGCTGGTGTATCTGATTCAGCCTCCCCCAGAACCCACGGCGCCGCAATACTTGAACGTCTGGCTGACCACTGATCTAAAGGCATAGGATCAGGGAGGCTTTTAAGTAATTATATGTGCATTAGCAGTCAGTCAATTTTGGACGTTTGTGATAATGCCATAATTGTCCATTTTCGTACTATTCATTCACGGTTAGGTAATTGCCATCGTCCTATTCAACGATTTAATTTTTCCTCTATCGACGGTGTCCTTTTACCGTACCGATCGGTCTTTCTTGAGTGCACATTCGAGCCTCAGTAAACTGAATGGAGTCCTCCATGGAAGTGGTCAATTGCGTGGACCTTGTGGTGCCCTCTGGGAGAGCCTGCTTAATCGCTGCCATAGACATATGACAGTGGTCTGAGACAGATCAATGGCCACGCCATATTAGGGCTAGAAAACGACCATACAGTCTATTCATTTCTCTAGTTACATTATACCCAACCGAAGAGTCCCGGCGTCCTTAAAAAAGTCGGTTCTATCCTGTTTTTTTTCTCCAGACAGCTCTGGCAAGTCATTGACGCCTGCCAACGACTGAAGATTGCCCACAACCTCTTCGCTGCGCGCAATAGCCACGGAATTCTTCGGGTGGTCCTATGGCCTCGCCGTTCAGTGTTTGAACCCAAGGCCATAGGTCCTGTCCCCGGCGCCGTCGCCTCCAGAGGTTACAATGTTGCTGTGGCTGAACTGGCTGGGATGATGGTTGTGGCTGACGAGGCAACGTGTGCCACTCTGAGAGAGAGGGGTGCGCTTGAGGACATATTGATGAACGAGCGTCTGCCGGATGTAGAACTGGCTGAACTCCACTCACTCCTCTCACAAAAATCCTGAGTTCCTGCCGCTCTCCCGTCTTTTCTCGCTGTATATCGGAATGGCGCCCCCGGAGTGGTACCATGGAGCTTAATTTGTGCACCACTTTAGTATTGGAGACCTTTTTAGTTCCGCCCTCGCCTTCATTACTGTCTACCATGTGTATTGGGCGGATGATGTGTAGGCCTATACTTCAGGTCCCTTTGTTTCTGATGGTCATTCGCAATGCTTATTCCGAAAACCTCACAATTATCCCCCCCATTGTCGTCCAGTCACATTATGGTGCTTTTCCTTTACAGAGTGGATATTGATCCCAAACACATCAGCCTAGTTTCTTTAACAGATTTTACCAGGGTTCATCAGGACTAAAATTCGCAATAAAGCCTGTCAACATCTTACAGCTCTGCCTAAAACGTTCTGGCTTTCATTGCGGAGGTTCTGTACTGAAGAAATGGAGTTTTCTTCAATCAGCCTACTGGCTTTTACCGGCCTTACTTCCACGAGGGAAAAAGCCATACTCTATTCATGGCCTTTACGCCGGCAACCCTTTATCCAAAGAGCAAGGTGCATACGAAAAGAGCTGGTAAGGTCTCCATTCATCACAAACCCTGCACAGACGCTGCGTATAAGTTATTGAAAGTGGTAAGCACACGAAACGTCGAGATCAGAACGACAGCATCAGGATTTAGGGAACCTATTTGAGACCTAAATACAGAAAGCGAGTGCTGTGAGCTTGCCGCATGTCTCACTGGTCTCAAACCCAACACCTCTCCTTTATTAAATCTTTTAATTGGAACTCAAAAGAAGTAGTGAAAGAAGTGTGTATTGACATATTCTAACAGCGTATATAAGGTGAAAAGGAACATGCGAGATTTTCCATGGTCGGTCTGGAATTTGATCCATCAGATAATGTCTGATTGGCTAGTACACCGATCCTGTCAGGAGCTGGCGCAGTCCATTATGACGGCATCCTAAAACTCCTCCCCTTAGATTGAATAGTACGATTTGGACCTCGGGTTAACTTACAATGGTGCCGTTTGACTTTGTGTTAGGCGCTATCGTTTAAATGACCGAAGAAATCGTCATGACCCTTTAACTGTGGTTTCTTGCCATGGCTTCGGCGAGTTACGTGTGCCCAGTAGCAGTTCCCACGCCAGATTTGAGCCTGGACTTGGCACGTCAGTGCATTCAGTCCCGGCTGGTAGGAGTAGCGCACCCAGGTGTCGGATCCGACGAGAATCCCGTAGATGACTTTACCACATTTTCAGTTAACGTGCCCAGGTGTCTGCTTCCCGATTGCCTCTGCAGTCCTTTGCCAGCAACTCCCATAGACGGAGCGACCGTTGCTTTGCTCTGTGACATCGGTCAAATTACCTTTCTAGCGGCGTCGGGAGGAATGATTAGCGACCAATATGCTGTTGCCCTCTCACTGGTGGCCTCGGAGGAATTATGTCGAATGGTGTGCGAAAACTCTGATCGAGGGACGCCTGTTGGCGAATTCGGGTTTAGGGCTGCTCGATAGTTCGGCAAAAAATGTTTGGAGAGCTTCCGTACTCCCTCTCCCCTTTTGAGTTCTTGAGTTCGCTTGAACGTGTCGACGAACTGCTCAGGCTGTTGGACTGCCCATGATATGGTGCCGAGCAAAGTATTTAATGCCTCACTGGTTTCAGTATCGGGCGTGGGCGACTGATGCGAACTGCCCGGCACTATCACTAACCAGAGTTTCGGACAACCAAGTCTGTTGATCAGGCGTCGAAGTGTTGATTGTAACTCCAGTTGTCGTGCGTCCCATGAGGAAGACTTTGGTCATTTCCAATATGCGTTTTGGCCCTTCATCTAGGGTTGTCCAGCGTGAAACTGCCCTAAAACCTTGTTTCCAGTTTCTGTGGAACTTTGACATGTTTGTAGAACAGGGCATAGTCGTTGAGGGTTGGCAGAGAATGTTGTCTTTGGTGAAACTGTTGGAGTCCTTCAGAATTGCGGACCGCCGAGTGCAATGGTATTTAGTGACTTGTCTCGGCAGGTAGTACTGCTCGGCTGCGTTTCAGAATTCGTCAAATTGACTGGGAGGGCACGAGTGGAGTCCGTAATGGGGCCGTAAACCTCTGAACTGACGAAACTATCCCGATGCCTTTGTTCTCGGGTTCATTATTTCATGAGTTGATTAGACGCGCGAGTGCATCTGCCTGGTCGATGTTCGTAGTCGACTGGAATCGAATATCGAAGTCCTAACCAAGCAGCTTGGTCACTCAATGCTATAGACGAGCTGTCGATTACACGGAGATGTTTTCGATTTGGAATCGCCGGGAGAAGCTTATGTTCCGCTAGAATGGTGTAATTACGGACATAAGGCATCTTATGAAAATTCCTAATGGCGGAGATAATAGCCAAGGCACCCTCCTCGGGCTACCCGTAATGAGTGGTCTTTTGGTATGAGAAATAGCCATCTGAGCTATCGGGAAGGATGTGGGGAATTACGGCACCAATTTCATAGTTGGAGGCGTCCGCCGCAACGAGCATCTACGGATGGGGGTTAAAGTGCCTAAGTATCAAGTGAGAGTTCACATTCTTTCCATGTCTTGAAAGTCCTGTTGACCTTCTCGCGATCATTTCCAGTTGGCATCTTTCTTGCGTAACTCATTCATTGGTCGACGGAGGCAAAATATTCCCAAAACGAACGAGCTGTTATGACTCATAAGGCCCAAGAAAAACTGTAAAGAAACCACACCCTTTAGTTGATTAATCTGCCTGACGGCGTCAGTCTGCACGGAGACAGTCTTGGTCAATTGGGAACCACGTAAGGTACTCAACGTAGGGCTTAGAAATGCGCTTTTCCAGATGCAGGCGAGCGTCATAATCTTAAATCCGACTGGATACGGCCTCCTGGCGCTGCAACAATTCACCTGGGTTCGAGCCTGTGGCGATGATGTAATTCAGGTAGGCAGCGGCTCCCTCGGCGGAATCAGTCTTGGCAACAAATGGTAGGCGGGTGGACTGGCACAAACCACGAGTGTTAATCGACAGAAGTACCCGGGACTCATCACCCACCTTGGTGTGGAGATATGCATCAGACGGGTCCAGCATGACAAAATAAGTTTCCGCTTAGGAAAAAAGGTTTTCCGGCACTGGTGGGGAATATTAATGTGTGTCCAGAGCAGCACTGAAACGCTGAGAAATTAGAACACATATGAACTTTGTCAGTGGCATTATTGATGGCAACAATCGGCACGGCCCATGCGGAGTAGTTTACTTGCCAGAGAAAACCGTCTCGGTGGAAGCGCTCAACTTCTTAATCGACCACTGTAGGTGCAGTATATGCTTCTGGTCGTTTTGGTTAGAAATCAGGTTTTGCATCAGGCTGGGGAAAGAGACCGACTTCCAACTTGATGCGGCAACCAAGACCATCATGAAAAACAGAGCCGGATATCCTATAGAGTGGGCATCAGCTTCAGAGCCAGCTGATGCGATATGGCAGAAATCCACCAAGGTAATTGCAAGCCTTTTCAAGTACAAATTACTGGCACCTTCAGAAGACCGAGTTCCTTGATCCAGTTAGGGTTAAGTAGATAAAGGTTTGGCCGTTTGATCAGACACATGTTCTCTTGAATTGAATCCCATCAAAAGAAACGTCACACAGAAGCTCAATCGTGCGCCGGAGAGCTCTTCCAGAAACATCCTGCTCCGTTTTGTTCGATGTGCTCATTGGAGGCTGTCGAATAATTTGTCAAGTATGCTTGGAGATGAGAGTGACGTTTGAGGTTGTATATAATTGGAGGCGCACTAATGTGTCACTGATATAACTCATAAGGCACTTTGTTCATGTTTCAAGCTCGGTTTGGAACGTAAGCATAATTAAATGAAACTTTTGGCCGGATAGGATTGAATGGCGTTTGGGGCGCCCCGTCTGTCTCTTGTGTCCCCTTGATTAGGATTGGCAGGCTGTCTTCCTTGTGCCCTTGTCCATGGCATTTCGTACAAACATGCTTTTTGAACGGACAGAAGCTGAAGAAATGTCAATCACCACATTGCCAAAATGTCGCTGGTGGTTTTCTGGGAGTCGGTTCTTGGGGCTTGTATACTGGCACGGATTTCGTATTGGTAACAGCATAAACCCTGATAGCGCCAAGTGCATGACTGGACCGTTACGCAATGGCAAAATCATGCTTAAGATCCCTCATATGTTAACATCCGGCGGTCAGTGTCCATAGGTGGGGAGTAGAGAGAGCCAGCATCCTGTCCGACTTTGATTAGCATACGAATTCTGTTTTCAGCATCGCGAGATGACTGAGAAACGCACACGAAGATGGGGCAGCACTTGACTTGATCTTCTGTCATCGTTTGAAGCCTGGACATTCGTCCTCGTAGTTGGCAAAACTGTCAAGCGTCAGAAAATCGCCAGTCTTACTCTGCAACTGTCTTCAGAACTGGTATCAGAGTACTTCTACCTGAAGATCTTTGAGAGATGCTTCACGGTTTCGTCGAATATGAACTCACGAGGGTTCCTTAGCAGAATCATGCCAATGTAGACCTCGTTTTGAGTACCTCATTTGCGTACAAGCAGGTATGCCTTTTATGCATCATCGGCGTTGCATCGTCTGCAAACGGTTGCTCCAAACTGGGCTTGCTACTTTTGCAGAATAGGGAGTAATTGCTCCACGGAGGTAAACATACTGCGTTAGGTATCGCCAATTTGTTATGCACTTGCCACACGCCTCCCTGGTCTCCCGTTCAACAACTCTCCTTTGCCCTTAGCAAAGGCGGAAGAAATATGTACCATGTTCTAACAACGTGTATAAGCCGAAAAGGAGCACGTTGGGATGCCCAAGGTCGGACTGGAATTCGATCAATCTGATATTGTCTTTGAGTAGCGAGTTTATCCGATTCTGTCAGGAGCTGGCGCAACGCCAGCACAAGCAGGGCATGAGGGCGGATCGTAGAGTGGCGGCCTAGCAACTCTCTCCCGGTGACCTAAGATCACCCAAATATTGCCTGTGGAGTAAACGTGCTTTAGACATTGTTAC